CCCCCCCCCCCCCCCCCCCCCCCCCCCCCCCCCCCCCCCCCCCCCCCCCCCCCCCCCCCCCCCCCCCCCCCCCCCCCCCCCCCCCCCCCCCCCCCCCCCCCCCCCCCCCCCCCCCCCCCCCCCCCCCCCCCCCCCCCCCCCTCCCCCCCCCCCCCCCCCCCTCCCCCCCGGCATGGCATCGGTTTTGGATGTGCATGTGTCTCCTGCAGCCTACTGGACTTCAACTGGTTCTTTGGCAGTCTGCCCCCTGCAGTCATCGGCATGCCCAAGCTCACACGCCTGTCAGTCCCTCTCCTACCACCACCCCCCTATTGCGCTTCGCTTCCCTGCTTCTTTTTCTTACCTGGTTTCAACCAAACGGGTCATTTATGCATAAAGTCTCAAGCCATTAAAATAGCTCAGCATATCTGCGCCTCTATCAATCCTTTCTCCTCCAACCTTCATCCTCTCTCCCTCCCCTCATTCCCACCCGACTCCCCTCTCATCCTGCTCGCACCAGTGGCCTGTCCTACAACTACCTCACATACCGTGTGCCGCCGGTGTCAGCAGCAATCAAAGACCTCGACGTGGGCTTTAACTTCCTCTCAGGCTCCTTCCCGGCCAACACTGCCACGTCATGCGGCGCCAACAGCAACTGCTTCCAGAGCGCCGCCACGTGCGCCACCAAGGGCACGGCGCAGCGCACGTCCGGGTGCAATTTCTGCCAGGCCAGCACGGGGCAGGGCATGCTGTGCTACGGCCGCGGCGTCTGCACCGTCAACGCCTCCGCGCCCTTTGCTGCCGGCACGCCCAATGCTGTCGGCGCTCCCACGCTGCCCTTTACTTGCGTCAGTAAGTGCCTACTTTTGAGTCATCTCAAAAACCGAAAAAACGCTTCCGTGTCCTTTGCTGCTGGCACGCCTAATGCTGTCGGTACTGCCACGCTGCCCTTTACTTGCGTCAGTAAATGCGGGGTGCTCAGAGAGACAGGCCGGGGAGGAGGGGGGAGCTGAGATGGTGCTGACGCTGGTGCACCTGAGGCTGGTCCTGTTGTCATGTCAGCACTTCCTTTCCTTCTGTTGCAACGCACTGTCTCCTCCCTCTCACTGTCTCCTTGTGCCCTGCCCACCTGCCCACCTGTGCCTGTGTGTGGGCGTGCAGACATTGTGTGTGGCACCGACTAACGCTGCCATCTCAGTACTGCCTTCGGTTTCTTACTCTCTCTCTCTCTCTCTCTCTCTCTCTCTCTCTCTCTCTCTCTCTCTCTCTCTCTCTCTCTCTCTCTCTCCCTCCCCCTCTCTTCTCTCTCCCTCCTTGTGGCCCACCTGCGCCTGTGTGTGTGTGTGCAGCCACCGTGTGCGGCTCCGCCTCGCCGGTCCTCTGTCCCAACGACTGGCGCTGCGCTGGTCTGCAGTGTATCATGAACTTTGTCAACTGCGTTGGCTACCTCTGCGTCTAGAGTTTTGACGTGCATCAAACTGCGTCGGCTTTTGAGGCGCCTTAAACTGCGCTGGTCTCCAGTGTGTGGTGAACTTTGTCAACTGCGTTGGCTACCTCTGCGTCTAGAGGTGGCCATTCACTCTGCTTGCCTGCCGGACGCCTTGCCTTGCTGCAAGGCTGTCTGCTTTGGTGCAGTGCTAACTGGTCTGACGCAGGGCTAATTGCTTTCCTGCAGCGCTACTAATTGCTTGCAGCAGCGCTAATTGCGTTTGCTGCAGCTCTAATTGCTTTCCTGCAGCGCTGGTTGCTTTGGCTGGTCGTCTCGTCATTGGTTAGCGCTGTGAAGCCTCCTAGTTGGCCTTTGATTCCTGGAATGTCATTTAGCCATTAATGTTGGGTGAACATGTCTGCGGATTAGACAAGGATTTGACAGGACTGCAGCTATACCTGATTTCATATCACTTTGAATTCGGTGACAATATTGTGCTTCCGGTCCTGAAATGTCGGTGCTGAGGGGTGGTATTGTGGGGAATTGACATGCTAAGAGGTGTAGAGTTGTTACCTGTCTAGATGTTGCTGAGGTGCAGTGGCGTGGATTGCTCGAAATACTAAGCCCACGGCAAGAAATATGTACAAAATTCCTGGACATGTTGTAACGAGGATGTGCCCGTGGGTGAAATAGACTTGAAATGAGTTTGTGCTCAGTAGTACATGGTACAGCAAGCAACATGGCACAGCAACCTCTCGCTGAGAAATTATGTCACAACATGTGCACACATCACACATACTCCTGAAATTGCTTCAGCAAAACCCTGCTACAGGGTTGTACCTCCTTTGAGCTATAGGAGGAGTTAAGGTCCCACTTCCACATTCCCTCCTCCCTCCTCCCCTCTCTCCTCCCCTCTCCCGTCCCCTCTCTCGTCCCCTCGTCCCTTCTCTCTCCTCTCCCCCACCACCCGAAGCAGTTGCATCTCCCTCTTCAACTCCCTCAGCATCTCCCCAAACCCTTCCCGCTCCCTCCGAGCTTCCTCCCGAGCCTCTCGTGCCTCACGCCGAGCCTCCTCAACCTCCTGTCGTGCCTGCTCCCAGGCCTCCCGCCGAGCCTCCTTCCGAGCAGCATCCACCTCTCGCCGCACCTGCTCCGTCCAAACCTCACGACCCGCCTTCTCATGACCTTGGTTCGGTAACCGATCCATAATCCCACGTTCGAGCTCGTCAAACCTCTGAGTCAGGTCTGTTTGGAGGGCTCCCATTCGCTCTTGCAATGCCAGCATGTCTCGCTTTTGCCGAGACATGGCCACAGCTGAGCTTGCACGGGCCATGAGGTCGGAACGGGACAGGTTCTCTCCTGTCTCCGAGAGAAGGACTTTGACGAGTGCAGGGAGGTCGATGGATTCCAGGTGGTGGGTGTAGCGAGGAGGGACAGAGCGCAGCTGTTGGGTGGGGTGGGGTGGGGTTGTGTGGGGTTGAGAGATGTGAAGAGAGTTGTGGGTCTAACAGGCTCTTTCTTGCCCCTGAGCGAGAGATCTTGACGAGTGCTGGCGGGTCGATGGATTCTAGGTGGTGGGTGTAGCGGGGAGGGACCGAGCGCAGCTGTTGGGTTGGGTGGGGCGCAGAGGGGTACGTGCAGAGGGTTGAGCAGAGGGGGATAAGGGTCTCACCCCATCATTGACCATCCTGGCTCCTGGTAAAGTGTGTGTGTGTGTGTGTGTGTGTGTGTGTGTGTGTGTGTGTGTGTGTGAGTGAGTGAGTGAGTGAGTGAGAGAGTGAGTGTGTGTGTGTGAGTGAGTGAGTGAGTGAGTGAGAGAGTGAGTGTGTGTGTGTGTGTGAGTGAGTGAGTGAGTGAGTGAGTGAGAGAGTGAGTGTGTGTGTGTGAGTGAGTGAGTGTGTGTGTGCGCGTGATTTTTTTATAATGTTTTGTACATTTCCTGACGAAGGAACTACTGTAATGCGTTCGACAATCCACAACCCACCGTCCCGCACCATCCCACCAACACACCTTTCTGGCTAGCGCGCGTTGCAGAATAGCAGAGAGCGAGAGGGCGTTGAGGTGCCTGCCCCCGACAGCCACCACCCGCTGCCGCTCCTCCAGTGAGTCCTCCCGCCAGAAGCTTACTCGCCTTCGGAGCGACCACACCATCGCACTCCCCCCTCTGGAGTGCGGCACCTCATCCCTGCTCCGCACCCCCGCACTCCCCCTTCTGCTGCCACTGCTGCTGCTTGTCCCCAACGTGCTGCTATTGCTGCCGCCGCTGCTATTGCTGCTGCTGCCCACTTCCATGGTGCTGCTGCCCGCTTCCATGGTGCTGCTGCCCGCTTCCATGGTGCTGCTGCCCGCTTCCATGGTGCTGCTGCCCGCTTCCATGGTGCTGCTACCCGCTTCCATGGTGCTGCTGCCGCTGCCGCTGCTTCCTTTGCTGCTCTCCGTACCTTCAGCAGCAGATCTGGCAGCAGACACTCCCGAGAACTTACTCCCACCATCTCTCACTACCTCCGTGCCACTCCTAAGACCCTCACCCCCCTCGTCTCTCTCACTCACGCCTGGTTGAATTCTCTCTGCTTCTGCCATCCCCTCGTCTTGCATTCTGATCCGACCTTTAGCCCCTCCCCCTTCCAGCCGTTGAGGCGCCTCAGAGATTGTGTCCATTCTGGAAGCTTCAGCTCCTGCCCCTTGCAGCCTATGAGGCGCGCCAGAAGCTGCATCCACCATCCCTCCCAATCCCAACATCCCCCGCCCTTGCACCCTCATCATGACCGCTTTACCATCAATCATCCCCTGCCGCTGCACCCTTACCAGAGCTTCTCTCTCTTCCGTCCCCAACTTCCCCTCCTCCGCAACTTCTGCTCCCCCTCGTCGCCCATCCTCCAACCCACCTCTCCTTGACCCACTATCATCCACACCATCCTCCACTACTAATTCCTTCATGCCCTCCCTGCTGCCCATACTGCCATTCTTGCTGCCCCTATCACTTGCCCTACTGTCACTGCCGCCGCTGCTGTTGCCATTGCCCCCACCACTGCTCACATGCTTGCTGCCCCCTTCCCTTGCCGGGCTGTGCCGAAGGCTCCTAGCAAGGCTCTGCTGTGCCGATTGCCACAGGCTTTTCTGAAAAGATGAAGCCAATAGAAAAAAGGGACAGAGCATGGAGTTAGGGGATTCATCCGGAGGTAATGACAGTACAGGAGTTGGGGCCGCCTTCCCTTGCCCTGCGGTGGCAACGTCTCCTCGCAAGGCTCTGCTGTGTCGACTGTCACAGGCTCTTCTGAAGAAAGGAAGGAAAACAAAGGCGGATTATGTGGGCACTGCAGAGAACCCATTGCCAAATCGAGAGAGCACTGCACATGCCTCACTCACTCTCCTGCCCGCTGCCCTCACTCACACCCACCTCCATGACCCATGACCGTCTGGGCAGTGTCGACTGCTCCCAGGCGAATCAGTTGATTCACAAGAGGCGACTCACTGAACAAAAGAAAGCACATGCCAGGTGCCCTCACTCACACCCACCTCCACGACCGTGTGAGCAGTGTCCACTGCTCCTAAGCGATTGAGGTTGGCACAAAAGGAGAGAGAGCCGATCGCCTCTTTAAGTATGTCTCACACACGCCTATACGCCCTCCTGCCAGCTCATCTCCCTCACCCTTTTCCCCTCTGCCAACTGCCCTCGTTCACACTCACCTCCATGACCGTATGGGCCGTGTCCACTGCTCCCAGGCGAATGAGGTGCCGCAGCAGGCGGCTGTACTCGCTATAAGGCGTTGCAACACGGCGGAAGAAGCGCAGCACGATGAGGTACATGTCCTCGTATATTGCCGATGCACTCTCTGCTGCGTCCTGACAAAACGAGCAAGTGGGCATGGGAGGGAGGGAGAGAGGGAGGGAAAGAGGGAGGAAGGGAAGGAGAGAGGGAGAGAGGGACGGGGAGGAACCGCAAAACGATGAGGTACATGTCCTCGTATATCGCTGATGCACTCTCTGCTGCATCCTGCCGAAACGAGCAAGTGGGAAGCGGGCGAGAAGGAGGGAGGGAGGGAAGGTGAAGATAGTACAGGCAGCGTGACAACATTGAGGAGCACTCCAATGCTTGCGTTGACTGGCATTGACCACAATTGACTTGTGCTGACTAACGTTTGACTACCATTGACTGGCGTTGACTGGCATTGACCACAATTGACTTGTGCTGACTAACGTTTGACTACCATTGACTGGCGTTGACTGGCATTGACTGGCGTTGACTGGCGCTGACTCACTCACCTTCACATCCATGAACGCATCAACAATGATGGCGATGAGGAAGTTGAAGAGCACAAAGAAGAAGATGATGACGAAGGAGAACCAGAAGATCATCGCCGCGACGTATTGCCAGCTCTCCATGTGCTGAAAAAAGTACTGCACACTGTTGTCGTTGAGGATAATGAGGAAGCAGGTTTGCATGGCACCCCACAGGGTGCTGAACTGTTATAGAGAGAGGGGGAGAGGGTGGAGGAGGGAGGGAAAGAGAGGTAGGAGTGATACATCTGCATGTGATGGTGTGGGACGGACGTACTGCCAGCTCTCCATGTGCTGAAAGAAACTCTGCACGCAGGTCTGCATGGCTCCCCACAGGGTGCTGAACAGGAAGAGAGGGGTGGAGCGAGGGGGGGAGGGCATGATACATGGAAGAAACCTGCACACTGTTGGGAACCCGGGAAACCGGGAAACCGGGATATCGGAAAACCGGGATACCGGGAAACCGGGATACCGGGAAACCGGGAAACCAGGATACCGGGAAACCGGGAAACCGGGATACAGGGATACCGGGAAACCGGGAAACCGGGATACCGGGATACGGGGATACCGGGATACCGGGATACTGGGATACCGAGATACCAGGATACGGGGAAACCTGGATACCGGGATACCGGGATACCAGGATACGGGGAAACCGGGATACCGTGATACCGGGAAACCCGGAAACCGGGATACCGGGAAACCGGGAAACCGGGATACCGGAAAACCGGGAAACCGGGAAACCGGGATACCAGGAAACCAGGATTCCGGGATACTGGGATACCGGGATACCGGGATACCGGGATAACGGGATACCGTGAAACCGGGATACCGTGATACCGGGATACCGTGAAACCAGGATACCGGGATACCGGGAAACCAGGATACCGGGATACCGGGAAACCGGGAAACCAGGAAACCGGGATACCGGGAAAACAGGAAACCGGGAAACCGGGAAACCGGGAAACCGGGATACCGGGATACCGGGATACCGTGATACCGTGATACCGGGATACCGGGATACCGGGATACCGGGATACTGGGATACCGGGAAACCGGGATACCGGGATACCGGGAAACCGGGAAACCGCGATGCCAGGATACCGGGATACCGGGAAAATTGGGAAACCGGGAAACCGGGAAACCGGGAAAACTGGGAAACCGGGAAACCGGGAAACCAGGAAACCGGGAAACCGGGAAACCGGGAATCCGGGAAACCGGGAAACCGCGAAACCGGGAAACCGGGATACCGGGATACCGGGAAATCGGGATACCGTGATACCGGGAAACCGGGAAGCCGGGATACCGGGAAACCGGGAAACCGGGATACCGGGATACCAGGAAACCGGGAAACCGGGAAACCGGGATACCGGGAAACTGGGAAACCGGAATACCAGGATACCGGGATACCGGGATACCGGGAAACCGGGATACCGGGATACCGTGATACCGGGAAACCGGGAAACCGGGAAACCTGGATACCGGGAAACCGGGATACCGGGAAACCGGGAAACCGGGAAACCGGTATACTGGGATACCGGGATACCGGGATACCGGGATACCGGGATACCGTGATACCGTGATACCGGGATACCGGGATACCGGGATACCGGGAAACCGGAATACAAGGATACCGGGAAACCGGGAAACCGCGATGCCGGGATGCCGGGATGGCGGGATACCGGGAAAACGGGAAAACAGGGAAACCGGGAAACCGGGAAACCGGGAAACCGGGAAACCGGGATACCGGGATACCGGGATACCGGGATACTGGGATACCCGGATACCAGGATTCCCAAGGATACCGGGATACCGGGATACCGGGAAACCGGGATACCGGGATACCGGGAAACCGGGAAACCGGGATACCAGGAAACCGGGAAACCGGGATACCGGGACACCGGGATACCGGGATACCAGGACACCGGGAAACCGGGAAACCGGGAAACCGGGATACCGGGATACCGGGATACCGGGATACCGGGATACCGGGATACCGGGACACCGTGAAACCGGGATACCGTGATACCCGGAAACCGGGATACCGGGATACCGGGATACCGGGAAACCGGGATACAGGGATACCGGGAAACCGGGAAACGGGGATACCGGGAAACCGGGAAACCGGGATACCGGGATACCGGGAAACCGGGAAACCGGGATACCGGGATACCCGGAAACCGGGATACCGGGAAACCGGGAAACCGGGATACCGGGAAACCGGGATACCGGGAAACCGGGAAACCGGGGTACTGGGAAACCGGGAAACCGGGAAACCGGGATACCGGGATACCGGGATACCGTGATACCGGGATATCGGGATACCGGGATACCGGGAAACCGGGATACCGGGAAACCGGGATACCGGGATACCGCGATGCCAGGATGCCGGGATACCGGGAAAACGGGAAAACCGGGAAACCGGGAAACCGGGAAACCGGGAAACCGGGCTACCGGGATACCGGGATACCGGGATACCGGGATACCGGGATACCGTGATACCGGGATACCGGGATACCGTGATACCGGGAAACCGGGATACCGGGAAACCGGGAAACCGGAATACCGGGAAACCGAGAAACCGGGATACCGGGACACCGGGAAACCGGGAAACCGGGAAACCGGGAAACCGGGAAACCGGGATACAGGGATACCGCGATACCGGGATACCGGGATACCGGGATACCGGGATACCGTGATACCGGGATACCGTGATACAGGGAAACCAGGATACCGGGATACCGGGAAACCGGGATTCCGAGATACCGGGAAACCGGGAAACCGGGATACCGGGAAACCGGGATACCGGGATACCGGGAAACCGGGAAACCGGGAAACCGGGAAACCAGGATACCGGGATACCGGGATACCGGGATAGCGGAAACCGGGAAAGCGGGAAACCGGGATACCGGGAAACCGGGATACCGGGATACCGGGATACCGAAAACCGGGATACCGGGAAACCGGGAAACCGGGATACCGGGATACGGGAAAACCAGGATACCGGGATACCGGGATATCGTGAAACCGGGATACCAGGATACCGGGAAACCGGGATGCCTGGAAATCGGGATAGGATACCGGGAAACAGGGATACCGGGATATCGGGAAACCGGGAAACCGGGAAACCGGGAATCCGGGAAACCGGGAAATCGGGAAACCGGGAAACCGGGATACCAGGAAACCGGGAAACCGGGATACAGGGAGACCGGGATACCGGGATACCGGGATACCGGGATACCGTGATACCGGGATACCGGGAAACCGGGAGACCGGGATACCGGGATACCGGGATACCGGGATACCGGGAAACCGGGAAACTGGGAAACCGGGAAACCGGGAAACCGGGAAACCGGGAAGCCCGGATACCGGGATACCGGGAAACCGGGATACCGGGATACCGGGATACCGGGAAACCGGGATACAGGGATACCGGGAAACCGGGAAACCGGGATACCGGGAAACCGGGAAACCGGGATACCGGGATACCGGGAAACCGGGAAACCGGGAAACCGGGAAAACGGGATACCGGGATACCTGGAAACCGGGATACCGGGATACCGGGAAACCGGGAAACCGGGATACCGGGAAAACGGGATACCGGGATACCGTGATACCGGGATACCGTGATACAGGGAAACCAGGATACCGGGATACCGGGAAACCGGGATTCCGAGATACCGGGAAACCGGGAAACCGGGAAACCGGGATACCGGGAAACCGGGATACCGGGATACCGGGAAACTGGGAAACCGGGAAACCGGGAAACCGGGATACCGGGATACCGGGATACCGGGATAGCGGAAACCGGGAAAGCGGGAAACCGGGATACCGGGAAACCGGGATACCGGGATACCGGGATACCGAAAACCGGGATACCGGGAAACCGGGAAACCGGGATACCGGGATACGGGAAAACCAGGATACCGGGATACCGGGATATCGGGAAACCGGGATACCAGGATACCGGGAAACCGGGATGCCTGGAAATCGGGATAGGATACCGGGAAACAGGGATACCGGGATATCGGGAAACCGGGAAACCGGGAAACCGGGAAACCGGGAATCCGGGAAACCGGGAAATCGAGAAACCGGGAAACCGGGATACCAGGAAACCGGGAAACCGGGATACCGGGACACCGGGATACCAGGATACCGGGATACCGGGATACCGGGAAACCGGGAAACCGGGAGACCGGGATACCGGGATACCGGGAGACCGGGATACCGGGAAACCGGGAAACTGGGAAACCGGGAAACCGGGAAACCGGGAAACCGGGAAGCCCGGATACCGGGATACCGGGATACCGGGATACCTGGATACCGGGATACCGGGATACCGGGAAACCGGGATACCGGGAAACCGGGATACCGGGAAACCGGGATACCGGGAAACCGGGAAACCGGGAAACCGGGATGCGGGGATACCGGGATACCGGGATACCGGGAAACCAGGAAACCGGGAAGCCGGGATACCGGGATACCGGGAAACCAGGAAACCGGGAAGCCGGGATACCGGGAAACCAGGAAACCGGTAAACCGAGATACCGGGCTACGGGGATACCGGGATACCGGGATAACGTGATACCGGGATACCGGGATACCGTGATACCGGGAAACAAGGATACCGGGATACCGGGAAACCAGGATACCGGGATACCGGGAAACCGGGAAACCGGGATACCGGGAAACCGGGATACCAGGACACCGGGAAACCGGGAAACCGGGAAACCGGGAAACCGGGAAACCGGGATAGCAGAAACCTAAGTCTGACAACCGGGATACCGGAATACCAGGATACCGGGAAACCGGGAACCGGGAAACCGGGAAACGGGGATACCGGGATACCGGGATACCGGGATACCGGGATACCGGGAAACCGGGAAACCGGGAAACCGGGATACCGGGAAACCGGGATACCGGGAAACCGGGATACCGTGAAACCGGGATACCGGGATACCGGGATACCGGGATACTGGGATACCCGGATACCGGGATTCCCAAGGATACCGGGATACCGGGAAACCGCGATGCCGGGATACCGGGATACCGGGAAAATTGGGAAACCGGGAAACCGGGAAAACTGGGAAACCGGGAAACCGGGA